TCCTTGCTGCCTCAATTAGTCGCTGCCTTGGTGCAACATATTCGCAGAATTGGCGAACTAAAAAGCGCAGGGAGGCCTCTTGCTGCGGGCTCAAGCTGCCGCTGTTGTTGCTGCTGCTATTATTGTTGTTGCTGTTGTTGTTGCTGCTGCTGCTGTTCTTGTTGCTGCGCCTCCCCTCCCCTAGGCCTACATTAGGGGGAGCACGCTGCAGCAGAGAGGTGCACATCCTCTCGCAGGACAATTCTTTTAGTTTAAGACCCCGAGAGGTTAAATAATCCATATATTCTGCAAACACACAAACCCTAAACCCTAAACCCTAAACCCTAAACCCTAGATATTCAACCCTAAACACCCTTTGGAGCAACCAACATATATGCATGCTCAACCCTGCAACAACTGCAGCGCCAACGAGGAAAGAATGCATGCATGCAAATCATATCCAGCTCATGTCTGCCTAGGGTTTAGGGTTTAGGGTTTAGGGTTTATGACGTGCCTCTCTCGGACTCAAGAAGAAATAACAATGCCTTTCCTTCTCTCCCTAATCGGGCTGTACGACCAATGCGGTGTATGTACTCCTCAAGTTGCTGCGGTGGTTCAAATTGAATTATCCAGTCAACCTGCGTATACACCCCAAACCCTAAACCCTAAACCCTAAACCCTAAATCTCGAACTCGAAACTTGTGAGCACAAATGCCCAAAGCCAACAGCCAGTCAAAATCAAAATGCCTCTACCTTCACACGAGGGGTTAGGGTTTAGGGTTTAGGGTTTACCTCGGGGAGGTTTAGACCTCTAGCTGCAACATCTGTTGCTAAGAGTACCGCTCCTTCTCCGCTAAGTTTTGTGAATTCATCCATACACCCAAGTCTAAAAAAAAACACCACCAAACCCTAAACCCTAGACCCTAAACCCTAAACCCTAAACCCTAAACCCTAAACCCTAAACCCTAAACCCTTTTTTTTTTCCTGTTTTTATTTCCATTTACCTGTCATCTCTATTCATACTACCATGTAATTTAAATATCTCTAGGCGCTGCAGCACGAAGGGGCCCCACAGGCCGGGGGCCTCGTCAGCTAGATCGTCATCAGCAAGAGGGTCCTGTGTTGGGTCCTCATCATCATCATCATCGTCTGCTGCTGCTGCTGCTGCTGCTGTCGCTGCTGCTGCTGATGGGAAGTGCGCCTTGCGGGTATTCTTTTTATGCTGTTTTATGTTGTCTGCTATTCGCTGCAGCTGCTGCTGCTGCTCCTGCTGCTGCACTTTTAATTTATGCATAAGTTGCTGCTGCTGCAGCATACGCTGACGCTTCTGTCTGTCGTGCTGCAGCAGCAGCGGCCACCGCAGCCGCAGCAGCAGCAGATAGAGGAACTCAACATGATCACAAGAGGAGACAAATACAACTAGCTTCTTGTTGCTCTCCTCTGCAGCAAGGAGACAGGACAGCAGCAGCAGCAGACGCAGCCGTGGCTCTACTACTAAACAGAATTGCTGCAGCTGTGGAGGGACATCAAAGACAGGTGGCTTCCCTGTCTCGCTGCTGCTGCTGCTGCTGCCATCAGCAGCAGCAGCAGCAGCAGGCATGCTGCAGCAGCAAAGACGTTTAATCATTTTATCTCTTTGTTTATCCGTAAGAGGTTCGTCGTGCTGCAGTTCTCTTCTTTCCTTTTCTTCCTCATCTATTTCCTGCTGCTCCTGCTGCTGCTGCTGCTCCTCCTCCTCCTCCTCCTCCTGCTGGTGCTGCTTAAGAATACGCTGCTGCTGCTGCTGCACCTCCGCCATACGAGCAGCAGCAACAGGATAAAGGGACAAGGAGACCCATTGAGGATCCTTACGGAGACAAAAGTTGGCTAGTCTCTTTACTGCTGGTGTTAATGTAGCGGAGGCCATGGCTACTTGGAAGGGGGCCTCCCTGCTGCTGCTGCTGCTGCTGCTGCTGCTGCTGCTGCTGCCGTATTGTTCGTGTAGAGTCTCCTTATGACGTAATGCCTGTAGTTGCTGCTGCTCGTCATCACTGTCTACCTGCTGCATACCTTCCTCTCCTCCTTCTTCTCCTTCTCCTCCTTCTTGTTGCTGCTGCTGCTGCTGCAGTTGCTGCTGCTCCTGGTTCCATTCCTCTCTTGCTTGTTCTTTAATTTTGCGTATTTCTGTTTCTTCTTGTATTTTTTGCATGCATGCGGTGTATATACACCTCAATTTAGCCTCAAACCCTAGATCTAATATACGATCTGCCTCATCAATTAAGAAAAAAGAAAGAAAAAATAAATAAAAAGAAGATGTACTCCTTATATGATCATATAATCTACCTGGTGTTGCTAATATTATACATAAACCCTCACGTATACGTCTCTTCTCTTTCTTACGATTCTCTCCACCTATTATAACACATATACAAACCCTAAACCCTAAACCCTAAACCCTAAGCCCTATAAACACTAGATGGCGCAACCTCCTAACCATCTCGGTAAGCAGCGCAACAACAGCAGCAACAGCAGCACAACAGCAACAGCAATAACAGCACAACAACAGCAACAGGATCACAACAACAACAGCAGCAGGAGCAGCAACAGGAGCAGGAGCAGCAGCAGCAGCAGGAGCAGGAGGAGTATTTTCTTACCAACAATAGCGGATACAGTAAGCCAAGGAAATAATTGTGTAATTTTAGAGAATATTTGCGTAGCCTGTATAGTTAATTCTCTTGTAGGCAGCAAGACTATCCCTCTTGTGCCGTCTTGCCGCTGCAGCCGCTGCTGCTGCGATAGGCGCAGCACGCGCTGCACTAATGGTATAGCTAAACATAATGTCTTCCCTAATCCTATACACACAAATAAACCCTAAACCCTAAACCCTAAACCCTATTGTCTAGGGACAAGGAAATATATGGTGGGTCAGGAACAACAAGGGTTTAGGGTTTAGGGTTTAGAGATGGTATGTAGGCCATTGTATAAGTGCCATATATGACCCCTCATTGTATAGCGTATAGAATGTATAATGTAGGGTTTAGGGTTTAGGGTTTAGGGTTTAGGGTTTACCAGTAGGACACTGTATAAGAGTATCATGACCATGAAGAAGAGTAGGAATTGCTAAGAGTTGAATTTTTGTTGGAAATTTGAATTTATGATGAATTAGAGAGCGTCGTAGTCGAATATGTAAGAAATACCATTTAGAGTAACTATCTATAGCAAATATATCTCCTGCTGCTGCTGCTGCTCCTCCTCCTGCTGCTGATTCTCCTCTTGCTGCTGATGCTGCAGCAGATTCTTCTGCTGCTAATGATGCTGCTTCAGATAAGGGGTCACACGGTACTCCTCCCTCTTCTCCTTCTGCTGCTGCTGCTGATGCTGTTTCTGCTGCTGCTGCTGCTGCTTCTTCTTCTTCTGCTGCTGATTCACTCTCTTCAGCGTCATACATATCCTCTGTAGATTGGGTATCATCATCTTCATCTGCTGCTGCTGCTGCAGTTGCTGCTGTTGCTGCTGCTGCTGCTGCATATTCTTCTTCGTCGTCACTAGCTGCTGCTGCTGCATCTATATGCTGCTGTTGCTGTTTCCATTTCTTAGGCTGCTTGTGCTGCTTGTGCCGCTTCTGCTGCTGGTGCTTCTTCTGCCCCTGCTGCTGTTGCTGCTGCTGCTGTCGTGGATGCATATGCTTCTTGAACTTCTCCTGTCGGCCCGCTGCCAACGTAGAAGGTCCGTCTGTGCTGGCCCCCATATTACCTAAGCCCTAAACCCTAAACCCTAAACCCTAGGCCTCAACAAGCATCGATTCAAGGCGGAGCCAGAGCACCACTGGCTCGCCGCCGAAACTCAACCTTAAAGATCAGTGTTTAGGGTTTAGATTTTAGGGTCTACTGTTTAGGGTTTGGCGTTTGGGAAGCGATGATAGAGGTTTGGTTTCTCCCCTATGTGTGCATGGCAAGAATTTAGGGTTTAGGGTTTAGGGTTTGCAGTCGCTGCTAGCTGTGGGGCCGCCAATAAGTCCCTCAAGGCTCGACAGTTCCCTAGGGAGATGCCTCCCTATATTCCTAAACTAGGGTTTAGGGTTTGGGGTTTAGGTTTTTAGGGTTTAGGGTTTGATACCACAAGTGACCTGCAGAGGCGCATGCAGGGAACTAAGCCCGAGGGCCCCACACCTCAAACCGCTGGAGGTTTAGGGTTTATTTAGGGTTTAGGGTTTTATGGATATACATTTTGTTATCAATTTGTCACTAGAAGAGCCTACGAGAGCTGGCTAGGGCTTAGGGTTTAGGGTTTAGGGTTTGAGGGAGTAGCTCGGCGGCGGCGAGGGATTAGCCTCCGGAGATCGTCAGGGCTCTATTAAACAGAATGCGCCTTACAGCCTCTGTTCCCCTTGCTTCATGAGCAGGGTTTAGGGTTTAGGGTTTAGGGTTTAGGGTTTAGGGTTTAGGGTTTAGAGATGGCCTTTGACTTGAAATTTGAGTGGGAGGGGCCCGAGCAGTTTGCTGCCTTGGCATCTCGTGCTGCTGCTCTAGGGTTTGCTGCTGTTGCTGCTAATGTGTACATACACCTGCCGCCTCCGCGGCAGCCACAAGCAGCAGCAACAACAGCAGCAGCAACAGCAGCAGCAACACTGGCAAAGGCTGTAAAGCAAGGGCTGCCCTTTCAGCATCCTCTCCGTCTTCCTGTGTCCCTCTCGCCTCCGCGGCTACCAGCAGCAGCAGCAGCAACAGCAGCAACAGAAGCAGCAGAAGCAGCATCAGGTCCTGCAGCTGCAGCGGGAACGCAGCAGCAACTCGTGCAGTGGCTGCCAGACACCGTACCTGCTCTCTACTCCCACACAATCCAGCCACAGCCACAGCAGCAGCAACAGCAACAGCAGCAGCAGCAGCAGCAGCACCGTCAGCAGCAGCAGGTTGGCCGCGGCTGCGGCCCTCTGAGCAGCAAGCAATGGGTAGATCTATTTCCTTATGCTGCAGCAGCAACAGCAGCAGTGCAGCAGCAAGCAGCAGCAGCAGCACCATGTGAGTTGCTGCAGCTGCGGCGAGTTACGGTTGTATTAAGTTGCACATCTGCTGCTGCTAGCTTCAGCTCCCTCTTCCCTAGAAACCCTCCCTTCTATGCAGCAGCAGCAGCAGCAGCAGCAGGACAAGCAGCAGCAGAGAAGCAGGGTGCATGCATTGAGCTTCTTGCTGTACAGCCAACTAATGAGGAGACGTGGCAGTTTGCATGCAGCAGCTGCGAGTGTGATATTATTGCCATTGATTTTGCTGCTGCTGCTGCTGCAGCTGCTGCTGCTACAGGTGCAGCAGCAGCACCAGCAGCAGCAGGAATACCCTTTACTATCCGCAGGCGTCATGTGCTGCAGGCAGCAAGAAGGGGTGTCTTCTTTGAGGTGTCTCTAGCAGACTTGCTGCCGCAGCAGAAGAAGCAAGATGCAGCAGCAGCAGCAGCTGCTGCTGCTGCTGCTGCAGCAACAGCAGCAGAAGGTAGCGGCAGCGCGGAGGTAATGGCTAATCTGCATCGTCTGCTGCGTTTTGTACCCCCGAAGCAGCTGCTGCTGTCATCTGGTGCAGCAAACCCTCAGCAGCTGCTGCCTCCAGCTGCTGCTGCTGCTGTTGCTGCTGCACTCGGCATCTGCAGCAACAGAGTAGCAGCAACCAACAGCAGCGCAGCAGCAGCAATTGGCCGCGGTGCTGCTTCGCATGCACCAGGCGGTTCTGTTACTCAGGGCTGGCCATCTGCTGCTGCTGCAACAGCAGCAGCAGATGGTGGCCTTGCTGCAGCAGCAGCAGCAGCAAATATGCCTGCATCTGTTCTACAGCAACTGATGGCTGTGCGGCAGCTGCTGCTGCAGCAGCAGTAACAGTTATTGCTGCTGCTGCTGCTGCAACAGCAGCACAACAGAGCAACACTATCAGCAACACCAAAGTGTGTACTATCAGCTGCTACTTCTGTTGCTGCTGCTGCTGCTGCTGTTTGCTGTTGCTGCTGCTGCTGCTGCTGTTGCTGCAGAAGGGGAGACGGCAAACTTCGAGCATATAAAAGTTTGTGTTGCGCGCCTCTCCTTGCCGAGGGCTTTTGCTGCAGTTGCTGCTGCTGTTACTGCAGCAGCAGTAGCAGCAGCAGCAGCAGCAGCGAATCTTTTCTGTTCGCGCTGCTTATCCCCCCGATGTCACGAAAGCAAATAAGCACAATGTAGCAGCAACAGCAACAGCAGCAGCTGCTGCTGCAGCTGTTGCTGCTGTGTTGCAGCCACCCTTAGCTGCAGCTATTGCAGCAGCAGCACAAGCTGTTGCTGCTGCTGCTGATTATTGGATGTGCTGCTTCTGGGTAGCATTAGGTTGTTTGCTGCATGCATGCAGCAGCAGCAAAGCCCCAATTGGCAGTGCTGCTGTTATAAGGGGAGGGGACCATATGCAGAAGCAAAGGGAAGCAAAGATGTGCAGCAGCAGCAGCAAACAGACGCATGGCACCACCATGCTGCAGCAGCAACAACAGCAGCAGCAACAACAGCAGCAGCAGCAGCAACAACAGCAGCAGCAGCAGCACAAGAGTTGACAGTAAACCCGATGCCCATACTAATGCAAAAAGCCAACCTAGGGTTTAGGGTTTGGCATTATAGCATTGGTGCTAGGGTTTAGGGTTTAGGGTTTGGCGGAGGCTTGCTAATATTTAACTCCTTCATTTATATTTTCTTATTGAAGGTTATTAGGGTTTAGGCTGAGCACTTATGAGGGTTTACGACTAGGGTTTAGGATTAGGGTTTTGAGTTAGGGTTTAGGGTTTAGGGTTTTATATTAGGGTTTAGGGTTTTAAATTAGGGTTTAGGGTTTAGGGTTTACTTCATATCTGTGATGAGGTAGAAGACATCGCTGGATGGCAAAACCTTCCTCTGAACAAAAAACAACACAATTAGGGTTTAGGGTTTAGGGTTTAGGGTTTACAGACACTACTTTCGTCCTTGTGTCCTCTCCCTCGCAGCAGCTGGAGGCATACTCGCAACAGCAGCAACAGCAACAGCAGCAACAGCAACAGCAACAGCAACAACAGCAACAGCAACAGCAGCAACAGCAACAGCAGCAACAGCAACAGCAGCAGCAGCAGCAGCAGCAACAGCAACAGCAACAGCAATGCCTTACCTTTACTCCTGAAGCACTGGTTGTTGTCTTTGCGCTGCTATCAGCAGCAGCAGAAGCAGCAGCAACAGGCTGCTGCTTCGTCTGCTGCTGCTGCTGCTGCTGCTGCTGCTGCGGCTCCTCTAAGCGAGTAACGGTATAACCGGGCAAATTCTGTAAGGCAGAAAATGCCCCTTCAGTTGGCACAGACACATGCGCTGTCTCCCTGCAACACATAAACCCTAAACCCTAAACCCTAAACCCTAAACCCTAGACATTACATATGCACACACACGCACGGAGCTGCCCTAAAGCAAGTACACTGGCGCTGCGCCAGCAGCTGCTGCTGCTGCAGATGCTGCTGCATCAATGAGACTCTTAGCTGCAGCAGAAGTAGCAGCAAAAATAGCAGCAGCAGCAGCAGCAGCAGCAGCAGCAGACTCACGAGTCCGCGTCGTGCTGCAGCACTTGCACATCAAGAGGAAGGGCAAGATCTTTAAAGTCCTCCAAACCGTCAGTGGGCACAGGCCGAACCAATGCGCGTATTGGAGCCATCTTGCTGCTGCTGCTGCTGCTGCTGCTGCTGGTGTTGCTGCTGCTGTTGTTGCTGCTGTTGCTGATGCTGCTGGTGGTGCCGCTGCACCGCTGGTGCTGCGCCCAACTCCCCCGTTGAACAGCCTAAGGCTGCAGCTGAGGAGCAGCAGACACAGAAGCAGCACACACAATACTCAACATAGATTTGTTGCCACTGTTGCTGCTGTTGCTGCGGCTGCTGCCGTGCTGCTGCTGCTGCCGCCGCTGCTCGTCTCGCTGCTTCTAGGAGAAGAGGTAAGAGTCAGCCAAGAAGAAACGATCACGCAAAATAAATATGAAGAAGGGTCGGTGGTGGAAGCACAGGGTGTCTGTGTACCTGTGCAAACCCTAAACCCTAAACCCTAAACCCTCAACAGTCGCCGTGGGGACGAAGAGGAGGAAAAAAGCAGGGAAATACCCTCTTGTATTGACCATATAACAAAGATTAAATAGAAGAATAAACGTAAGAGAACTCTGCTACAATCTATAGACCCTAAACCCTCGTAAACCCTAAACCCTAGTCGCTTATACAATAACCTAAACCCTAACGCTACCAGCAGCAGCGCTCCGCCGCCCCCGAGCGGCTGCTGTGTGTCTGCATTCCTGCTGTTCTTCTTCTTTTTTTTTTTTATTTATTTTCTTTTATTTTATAAATATTAATTTAATTAATGAAAACATTAACAGAAGGAAGCCATCTACACAATTTATATGCCCACGGAAGCAGCGAGCGCAGAATCCCTCTACGCTCGGGTCGTAAACCCTAAACCCTAAACCCTAAACAATAAACAATAAACAATAAACCCTCGCTAGAATAAAGGCTCTGATCTGTCTGCATCCTTCGATACAGAGGGGTGTGTGGAGAAGTTTAGGCGTACAGCTGCCCTTTGTGCTGTGTTTAGGGTTTAGGGTTTAGGGTTTAGGGTTTTCGAGGGTATAGGCACGATAACCCTAAGGGTTAAGGAGGACAAAAAAATAAACAAAGATGCAAAATACTTAGAGGAAAAGAATAAAGAAGGAATAAATAAATAAATAAAAGGATTGGTAGCATAAAGGAGAGAAAAAAGAAGGAAAAAAGAATAAAAAAGAATATAATTAGATAGAATATATATGCCTACTAGCTACTATTTAGTTGTTTGCGCCAATGTGCAGCTAGCTGCTGCAGTCTGCTGCTGCAGCTAGCTGCTGCTAGCTGCTGCTAGCTGCTGCACCTTGTTGCAGCTAGCTGCTGCTGCACCTTTTTATAACAAAGAAGAACTGCATGCAATTTGCATGCATCTAGCAAGAGGGAAGATTGACGCACAAGGAATAACATAAATAAGAGCAGCAGCAGCAAAAACAACGACCTGCTGCTGCTGCTGCTACTGCTGCTGCTACTGCTACTGCTGCTGCTGCTGCTGGCTGTAAGAGACACTAAGGGAGTGTTTTCTTAAGGAGATACGCTAAGGGTTTAGCCGGTTGTGTCTCCTGTCTAAACCCTAAACCCTAAACCCTAAACCCTAATTCTCAAGGAAACTCTTCCTTAATATAATTCCTCTCAGCATAAAGAGGAAAGAAGAGGAAAGAAGAATAAATATATAAATAAGTAAATAAATAAATAAATAAATAAATAAATAAAAAGGGGGAATAATTTGCTGCTGACAGAGGAAATGCGCATGCATAAGAATGCATGCAACAGTAGTGCATGCATGCAAGGACATTGGTGCATGCATTTGGGGCTGGCTAATAAGATTGCAGAGGTGCAGCAAGAAGCTGCACGCATGTGCAGCAGAAGCAGCAAATGCAGCAGCAGCAGCAGCAGCAGTAGCAGCAAGTGCAGCAAGAAACCCACTCTTAGTGCACCAATCATACTCAAATGAGCAACAGCACACGATATGAGCAGCAGCAGCAGCAACAGCAGCAGCAGCAACAGCAGCAGCAGCAACAGCAGCAGCAGCAACAGCAGCAGCAGCAACAGCAGCAGGGCTTAGCAGGAGGTATTCCTCCTTAGTGCTGTCTCCGTGTGTAACGGTTGCCTAAGACTTGCATGCATGCGCCAACGCATGCATGACTGAGTGCAGGTTTGCCCTGCAGCAGCAGCAGCAGCAGTTGCTGCAGGAGCAGTTGCTGCAGCAACAACTGCTACTGCTGCAGCTTGCTGTTCAGAGGGAGAGGGCAACAGCAGCTATTCCTGCAGCAACTGCTGCTGCTACAGACAGGAGGATATAGCAGCAGCTGCTGCTGCAGGAATTGCTGCTGCTGCTCCTCCTCCTCCTCCTTTTCTTTCCTCCTGTTATCCAATAGAATATGTATAAATGTATATGGTATAAATATACGTACTATATATGTATATTATGTAATATATATATTGTATAATAATA